AGCTTATTAAACATCCCGTTCTTCCAACGCCCAGGCGGACACAGATGTGAGTCCTGCAGCTGATCTGCAGCTCTTGTCAGCTGGAAATGTTTTAATAACCTTCCAAACTGTCACGATTTTATTTTTGTGTTGCTTTCTCTGTGCTGGAGTTATTTTATGAACTTGATGGCTTTATCCAGTGTGTTATTAAATTTGTAACGAACTTTATCGCACGTCTCTCCATTATACTCCCACACAAAAAAGCTTCTTTTAATGGTCACGCAAAGCCTATAGTTTTTCATTATATTCCAGTCAAATCTGATGTTCATTTATAAATCTTGCTCATGGATAGTGGTTATTAAATAATGATGCCTGTCCATCGCTTTGTACGGCGTATAGGTCAGCTGGTTAACTTGCCTAATCTTCGCAGGTCTTTAGACCGCGGTGGAAACGCACACAACAATGGGCTGAAGGAACCTTTAGTTCCTTGAAAAGAGATCCGGGGACTAAAAAGTCCTACTTAAAGTACTTTTGGTCAAAACGCGGCTTTAGATTATGCAAAGTAGGCTCTTCATTACAAAACACCAGCTAACTAGATTAGGATACAGTTATGAGTCATCAGCAAACTGTTAGTTCAAAATTAAACTGTTGGTTACTTTAAAACTAACTTTCATCACAGGGATGTGTGAATATTTGATCTGTTAACTGGCTGCATGTCAGATTTATCGCATTAGGCAGGCTGCTCTCAAGCATTATCCACTTAATCAGCCGAGTCAGTGTACAGGTGAAGAAAAGTATTTTTAGTATTTTGAAATTTAGTCTCTTATTTTAAAATACATTTTGATGTATTTTTGTCCCTCCATGGGGGCAGACGCAGTCAGGCAGGAGAGAACCCCCCCTCCGCAATTCATCACACAAGGCAATGGTCCTTTTAACTTAATTGTTGCAGAAGAAGTGATGCCCTGGTAATCCAGGAACACATAACAAGCTTAATTCATAAGGTTATTATAAAGATAAGCTCTACGTTTGATTAGAAAAGAGCAAAGGAGCAGAAACGCTTGTTGACCGTCATGGAGAGATGCCCTTCTGGTGTGAACAGACAGGCTACTGCTCGCTAGCAGGGATATTCCACACTAAAAAGGGACATTATACAGACACAGAAAAAAGGTCTAGTTCACTTTAATTTGTCTTTGCCTGAGCAGAAACTCTAATATATTTAGCCCTGGTGATAATTTGTTAGATACTCAGACAATAGGCTATGTCTAAAAAAAAAATGATTAAATGATTCATTATTACAGTGAATCTAGATTTAATCATTTAATATTTCATCACTATGGAAGCACAGCATGTAGCTAGAAAAAACAGTGATTTTGAGTTTGTGAAGATGTTTTTATTGGACCGCATTTGGTTTGCTGATTTGCAACAGAGCTGATGACCATTAAAAGTCATCATCTTCACATAGAGATGCACAGAAAAGTTAGAAAGCATGAGCGATTTAAAAGAGTGCATCTACACTGACATAAAAAATATTTGCTTACTGAAGACTTTAAAAGCAGCGTAGTGTGAAAGCCTATCGACCAGTCTGTGATACAATGCAGTAGATTGCTGAGCCTGTGTGCTAGAAAAAGACTTCCTGGGTATTAATAATTATTATTAATTTGTTCAAACAGTTTCAAATGAGACAGAGGATGTGGCCACTTCCTGCTTGGATCAGTATCTCCTGTGCATAATTACATACAGATGACCTACATTCTTGTGCCATCACATAAAAATCCAATATTGCCACAAAACATTCTCAACATCAAAATCAGTGCAAACAAAATCAACACTTCCCATATGATGGCCAGTACACCCAGATATTACCTCGGTATAAACCGCATGGCAAAATCCCTGATCATGGTGTATATCAGCATATTAACGCAACAAGGTTAGGGTTGGGTAACAGATTGACACATTTTGTCTCATTTGTATTTTACCTAACATTTATGGATTGGCCTAGACTGGGTCTGTGTCATGTGGGGAGCAACATGTTCACTGTTCCTGGATGTACTAATGTAATGTACTCAACAACATATACCAAAGCCAAGACTCTCACTCTCTCACACACACACACACACACACACACACACACACACGCTGGGGAATGGATGTTAGAGGGAGAAGACCAATGTACTGTATCTGAGAATAACAGAGCAATTGCCTTGCCACCAGCAGGCTCTAAAAGGCTGTCATAACAACTAGTTTGAGAGCAAACTCCCCGCTCTGTACTAAGAGGAGCATTAACAGCTGCATCAGGAATATGGCTTGGTTATAAAATGAAATGAGGACAGAATGTCAGAGTTATCTACTTCTGCTTTATTTGCCTATTTTTCCGCTTCCAGTAAAGCGCACACGCATCAACAATCAAACTATGAACCAAAATAAATACAAAGATAAATGAATTAAATAAATACAAAATAGAAAGAATTAATGCGGCATTACAGCATATGTTTTGTCTTAGCTATGTATGAATCACCTGTGAGTGCTTTGGGCATTTACCTTGATTGTTTAGCTGATGATTTTAAGCTCCCACAGCATTATTAATTAGGAAAAAAAAAAAACTTTCTTTCTCTGCAGACCTCCAAGAATACTAGGAACTTAAGTTTGACAAATAATAGAAAGTCCCTCCCCTTGTGGTGGACAACCATGGGACCTTATTTCGGAAATGGTAGTCAATGGGAAAAGACAACAAATATTTTGATCCTGTTTGAATTGTGCCCTGAATTACACATATGATGTTTGTCAATTTAAAAGATAAATTTTAAAGTCAAGAAATTTGCAGTTTGTTGTAATACTGTGAAAATACATAAAAACTTACATGAGAGGATGATGTGATAAAAGGACTGAGAGTCGTTGGATTAAACACATCAGGTGAGATTTATTTCTGCGTGGAACACAGCTAAGTTATCCAGCTAGTAGCAACCAAGCAACGAACGTTAGTTAGCATTACCACGCTAACATGTTGGTGACGTATATAGTGCGAGACGAGAGATGTAGCTCAGTGAACGGGTTTCACACAAAACGACACGTAACTTTACCGTTTTACGACAAATTGCGACTTTCTTGACTTGAAAAATTATATTTTAAATTGACCAACATCATATGTGTAATTCAAGGCTAAATTCTAACGGGATAAAAGAAAAGTTGTCTCTTGCCATTGACTACCATCCTTATTTTTCCCGAAAGAAGGTCCCATGGGCCGGAAATCGAGTGACTTAGGCTCTCTATAAAACTTTTTAGTAATGTTGTTTGATGAACTCTTCTGTATATGCTGAGTGAAATAAAATTCTAATGAAGCTGTCTCAGAAGAGAGCTGGCATCATCGGAATTTTTTCAGTACTGCTGCCAATGCAATACCAGAGATTATTACAGATATAATAGAAAAACAATAATTCATAACAATTTCAGCAAAAAAACTTTATTGTAATTTAGGAAATTAAGCTTATTAAAATTTTTTTTAAATGACTTAACACAGACTGTTGTAGAGGATTTTTCCACCTTAAATACAGGGGGAAATCCATTAAATAAACAATTCCATTAGATTTTAAAAAGGGATAAAAGAAGATTAAGAATAAAAAGAGTTTCCATATTTTTACTGCAGACACAATGGAGCAGTCAGTACTCCAAATAAATATAATAAATATTCCAGATATTTTACACAGAAAAAAGCAGAAAAATGTAACTGCTTAGTTAAACGCAAGCTCTGCAAAGCATTCAGAACACAAACAGGGCCACTCAGGTCGCAATGTGTTTGAAGCTTAGTGTTCTTCTTCAGGTAACATCCCATAATGATGCTACCTGGCCACACAAAAGTGGTGATTAGTGTTTCAAGTAAACAGGGCAGCTGGATCAATGCTTTGGGAGACTAGGGTTTAATTCCCAGTTGGAACACCTGCTACTGAATAAATGAATAAGTAATGAATAATTAAGGGTTTCTCTACATCCCCACACTACAACACTAACTGCACCGTCCCTCTCAAACACTGTTTACAGTTTGTGATCACTTATTACGAGGGTGTGACAAGACACAGCTCACAGGACGAGACGAGACACAATATTGGGTTCACGAGTTCGAGATGAGACTACATTTTAACACCATTTTTTAAGAAATCTTTAATGCTGAATTGTATGAAAAAAAAATTGTCTTTAAATGTGCATGTGGCACCTTTTCACTTCAATGATAAATTAATTTATTAGTTAAAAGTTATTAGTTAGAAACTCCTGGACTTTAAGAGCTCCTGTGTTTCAGCAGGCTTTCTGCTCATGTTCTGCTCTCCCACACATCTGACTTGTCTGACGGGTCCAGAAAAAAGTTGTAATATGATGAGATTAACATCATCATTTAATGAGAATTCGTAAGCATTTTTAAGTCTACCTTCCCTACACTCTGATGTGCATGTTATTGCTTCGCTGGTAGTATCCCCTTCAGACTGACTGACAGACACAGAAACCCGCTTGGGACTGCATTTAAAGATGACTGACAAGGATGTGGAAAATGAAAGTAACTGAAACACTTACGATCATGCAGAAATCTCGCCACAGATCCACACACGTTAACTTCAGCAGCTCACAGTCCCAAGCAGAGCACCTTTGCGCCTCAGTTTAAACGTTACCACATGTCACAACTCTACGGACTCACAGCGTGAGAGAGGGTTCACTTGATTACTATACATTTGTTTTTCTGTTTTTCTTATGTGTGGCGTGAAAGAATGTGATAAATGTACGAGAAATCTCATTGCGTTTTAGTCTCACGAGATCTACGCATCAGAAACGGGTGCTTGGGACATTTCGTGGAACGGAAATGTAATGTGAGCTAGGAATGGTGATGCCACTGGGGGTGGTGCCTGCTGCCATCACTGGAGGACATGTCCATAGGAGGCGGGGTTAGACCCGTGGGACCACGAGTGAATCTGTTGTGTACTCACCCAAGTACTAACAAAATCCTTATTATTATAGCAGAGATCCAGTCCATCTAGACTTACCTCCTTGCCAAGGTCTTCTCTGATGACCTGCCGGATCTCCTCCATGCTGCTCTGAGGAGCTCGGCTGTGGAGCACCCTCAGCGTGGATGTGTACTCTTCAGGTAGAAGGTAGTCCAGAGCACCGAGGTGCTGGCCCACCTTGATGAAAGTGCCCCGGTTGGCACAGCACAAGTCTCGAAGACGCTCCGCTGACCGAAGATGCACCTGCAAGTGATGGAACAGAGAAAAACAAAAAAAGTCAGAAACAGGATACAAAGTCTCAAGGTCTGCTAGGAAAAGCTGCGAAGGTCATTGCAATCCAAATGATTTCGTATCACATGGTTCCAAAAGCAGCAGATAGTATATGAAAAGTTGGAGGGAGTAGATCAAGAATGGATGGGCGTATCAAAACTTTGAGGACCTGGAAAACACTGGCTGGTCTGTGAGAGTTTATCCCCATAGGCTCTTTCATGCCAAACTGAGAAAACCATTTCTTTAAGGAGCTGATTAGCGTTCGGGGGCATTGTCATGTTGAAACAGGAAAGGGACAAAAACAAACTCGTGACACATAGTTGGAAAAGAACACTATTGTCTGAAATGTTTTATTTATGCTGGAGCATTAACTAAGGAGTCAATAAGAAAATAAATCACAAATTCAAGAGGAGAGAAAAGAAATTAAAAAGAGAATAAAAATACGCACGTTATACTGCAGATTGCAAAGATGAACAAAATAACAAAATAGAGCGACTATTTGATTAAGAGCCCTGGATGGTTTGTGTGTGTGTGAGTGTGTGTGAGTGTGTGTTGGTCCCGTTCCGTCTGTCCCATTTGAACCAGCTGGAAGTGATAATGCTTACAGAGAGCTCCTCTCCTGAGACCAGTGCAAATAAAAAGCCGTGAAATTAGCTCCCCTTAACCTCTGTAACCCCCACTACACACATCATGAATACACCCCACCGCGCGCACACACACACACACACACACCCACAGGGCATATTCTCATAGGACCATTTGACATGAGTGTCATCTGGGCAATTATGACAAAGCAATAACAGAAACAAGTCGCTAGAGATTACCAGATGAGCCTTTCTGCTTGAAGACGCACTGGGAAACCTTTTTTATAAAAACCATCACTACACCATCACAGCCACCTTCTCATGTCTGACCATATGGACTAGTAAAGCTAAACACATAATTGGTAGAAAACATAATGTGGTTTTTCACAAAAATTCACAGGCAGTTATTATTTATAAAAATTTGATTTTGAGGTTCAATCTCGAATTCCCACCCCACACAGAATAAAACCTACTTTATATAGGTCCAAAACAATTAGACTATTTCAAATATTCCTAATTTTAATAAAATTATATATACACAGCCACATGGAAAAAACTGAGATTAATAGTTATGATAAAGTCATCATTTTAAATTTAATCTTACATTGCTGGGAATAAACAAATTAAATATGAGAAAAATGTCAGAAGCAGGAAAATTCTGACGGCAATCACACAGTTTGAATAAAAAAATAGACTTGATAAAATCGTCTCATCCCTTCCATTCTGACTGATTTGTTATTATTTATTAAAACATATTTTATTTTAAATTTCTTAATTAAGCACTGTTGGTCATTATATTTCAAATGTATTCCCTTCACATTTTTGGGAAAAAAATGAAATTGAACAAAAGCATACAAAAGCGTGTAAAACCTTTTTTTCATATATTTTGACTTTTATTCTGAAATTACGCTTAAGTTAAAGTCTTAACTTGAAATATTTTTGTTGTCTTTTTTAACTAATGTACAACAGCAGAACACAGTTTACTGCACTGAACATCAAATGCTTTTTACCTGATTTTGTGCGCATTTGCCATATTTACTTATTTGCTAGAAGGTCCAAGAGTATTAGTTTCATAATAACAGCTCTAAAATTGTGAGATGCCTCATTTTCTTTGTTTGTTGTTGCCCCAACCTACAAGACTAACCATCCTTATCATAGGTTTAAATACATTTGCAGAACAACTGCAAAACTCCACAGCCCCTGGTGTGAATCCGCAGGACACAGAGGTCAAACGTCTGATGTTTGCTATGACCTGTCTCCCTCCAGAGAGGGCTTACAGCAGAGCCTGGACAGCTTCCGCAAGTTAAACAGTCAAACACGGACATAAAACAAACTAACTCTGAAAAATAAATTCACACTAGTAAATATTATAGACATAAAGAAATTGAGTATACAAAACATATTTAGGATTGAACGTCAATTTCACAGGACATTTTGGCATGGCTGTGAATGAGCTGAAGAAGTAGGCAAGAAGAAATTCCAATTGACATCCCAAGCAGGACCTGGGTCTAAATTCTAAATATAATAATACATCCAATAATATTATATAGTGCCGTGCGGGTCCACTAACCAGCCAAGACCTCACAACATGGGAAAAACAGCCGCTGGAAACCAACTTAACGAATGCAGGAAAGAACTTCAAATGTGAGTCATCCAATTTTATAAACACCTCCTATATAGTGACCCCGACTCCTGCCAGTACAAGCCCCTTCAGTGCAGAGAGTTGAACTAGTAATAAGAATAAGAATCCTCTCTGCCAGCTGGTCCTGTAGCTCTGCTCGGACTTACTTGGTGGCAGAGTAGGTCTACATGACCACGGTGACTGTTGGAAAAATAAGGAAAACGTTGACAATGTACAGACTGAGTGGACACAGCTTGGCCCAAGAAACATGGCTGTCAAAAGGCAGAACAGGATCCCCAGGGGAGGCCTGGCTGTGTCAAATAATGTTTCCTGATTTTATCCATCTTCCTGATCCTCAGAAACTGCCCTAACTATGTGAGTACTGTATTAGCTGCAAAATAAAAAAGCTCTGTAGCAAAAGTTTCATCTGTAGAAGTATTACAGCTGCTCGTGTTATTCTATCTACAGGACTCATTCCTCCCACACATTAGAGACAATGTTTACATGTTAGACAATTATAATATATAATAATATTTGCATATTATAGTATATCTACTGCTAATTGTTATGGCAGAAAATTGTGTCCTCTTACATTTAATCTTTTATGTATGATCTTTTAATATTATTATTCTTATTACTGTTCTTGTTACGGCTTATAGATATATAAGGATTGTGTTTTTATCCTTAACCTTTTCTCTCCTATACTCCTGATGTTAGTCTGTCCACATTTACTAGGGTTTAGGTCAGAGCTGTGAGATTGTTTTGGTGTTTTCCCTCTCTTGTTGTTCCTCTCCTCTCCTGTAATGTTCATTCAAGCCGAGAGAGGATCTCTGTTCCCCAAAACATAGAAACCTAGACTGTTTAAATGATTATGCATCCCTTTGCTCTGGGCCAGACGCCGGATGCTGCCCTAGGCGGCAGGTCTCTGGACCAGCTGTATATGTGTAGTACTTCTCTGTTTATTCTCTTTTGTTAAATAAATTCTTCAAAGATCAATCATCTGTCAGTGTTATCAATCCCAGTTGCTTGTGAAATTTTCCGACCACACTTTAAACTCCAGTCAACTTTCCATGAAAATGCTTTGATCCAGCACTCTGCCAACAACAGCCAGTCCTTTCAGCATTGACCTTCTGTGGCTTACGCTCCTTGTGGAGGGTATCAGTGAGGGTCTACTGGACAGCTGTCTAGTCAGAAGTCTTACCCATTATTGTGTTTGTGTGTCCTGAACCAGACAGAGATTAAAGGCTAACACAGTTAATTGTCTGTACTGCTTTAGGCTATTTAGGTTCTGTCATGCCAATAAAGCAACTTAAATTTGAAAAAAAAAAAAAAAAATCCTCAGCCACAATTTACAATTAAATGAGCAATTTCCCGTTATAAAAAACATTTTGTCAACAAAGATAGGATTTAATTTTAATTACAAAGCCTTAATCAGTTTGATATAAATTTGGCGCAAATCTGGCTTTGTCCATAACAATGGTGGCTATCCAAAACCCCTTTATTTCTCAGAATGGCATGAGAATAAAAACTAATGGCCATATTGTTGAATTACCAGGGACACGTTAGTGTGTTTATGTTGAGGATATCATTAAAAGATAACCTTTTTTGAGAACAGCGGCAGCAATGTCTAAAAGTCTCCACTCGTTTGCTACACGCACATTTTAGGGCTGTGCAAGCTAGTTGTTGCCCCTCAGCAAGCTTCTGGAAGTTGGCCAATCAGAAGAAAGTGGGCTTTCAGGGAGGGGGGCCTTAAAGAGACAGGAGCTACAACAGAGTGTTCATACAGAGAGTGAATAGAGGTGCTGATGCAGTGGACAGGATGAGAAAGATTATGTTTTAGAACATTAAAGCATGTAAACATTTTCTAGTAGAAACCAAAATAAAAGTATGTTTGCATTATTTGGGACCTTTAATGTTTAAAATAATTTCTAATAGTCTTTCAAACAAATCAAAATAACAAACTCGCCCTTCAAACTGCCAGATCACCTGAAGGCATGTCAGAGCTATTTCTGGCAGAATGTGTCTGGAAGCTGATTTGGTGGGCTGATCAGAATGAAAATCTGGCATCTGTTGCCCATGGCTCGTACCTTAATCCTCAGATTCATCATCACTCCTCTCTCCCTCTTCTAGTAATCAGTATGCTTTGTCCAGAGGAGGCAGGCTCACAGCTAGAGGATGACATCACTATGGCAATGCTATTCACTGACAGCCGGAAAAGTACGCTGCTCAGGGATTGGCTGATGTTGGCCTCCGCCCACCATCTCCACACATTCGCCATCCAATCAAATTAGACACACGGGTTAATTTGTGGTACAACACAGAGATACAGCTCAGTGCAGAATGCCTCTGGCTCTCTACACTCATCCTCTTCACACAGTTGGCAAGGACAGTAAATAAAAGGCTGGAGGTGTGTGTGTGTGTGTGTGTGTGTGTGTGTGTGTGTGTGTGTGTGTGTGTGTGTGTGTGTGTGTGTGTGTGTGTGTGTGTGTGTGTGTGTGTGTGTGTGTGTACTGCTAGTGCTAGACTGACAGGATAGCTAATGCAAGGAGGAAGTGGTTGAATGGAATGGTAAAGGAGAGGTAAGGAGTGAAGAAAGGAAGGAAAGATGGGAAGGAGTTAATTTTCATGCTAAAATGAAATTTACAGTTCAGCTTGTAGCATTGCAGAATTGTGTGAACGAAATGGAGTGAGAAATATCTGAACATAAACTATGCAGGCCGTTCAACAACAGACTTAATCAGATGTGCAGGTCTCCATAGGGGTGGGAA